TCTTTTAAAGGATCCCAGGTTGTAAGAGGGAGGGAACACGTGAGCGGGCAGAGCATTCCATTTACGGATAGTGCGACAAAGAAATGAGTCACCAAATTTCTTTGTACGCGTTGGAATTGTGGCCACAGTAAAACGGTGACAACGTAGGCCAGCGCGCGTGGTCCTCTGAAGGAAAGGGGAAGGTGGGATAAGAGAGAATAACTCCTCAGAACACTCGCCGTGGTACAAACGATAGAACGCGCTTAGTGACGCCACGTCACGGCGTAATTGAAGAGGCTCAAGGTGTTTAGTCACCTTCTCATCGCCTATGATGCGGATCGCGCGCCGCTGTAACCTATCCAAAGCATCGAGCAAGTACTTGGCGGACCCATCCCAGAGGTGCGAGCAATATTCCACGCAGGACCGCACTTGCGTTTTGTACAACAAGCACAGTTGATCGGGCGTGAAAAAACGCCGCACCTTGTTCAGGACGCCGAGTTTGCGTGAAGCTGTTTTGATCACGGTTTCGATGTAGTCCTTTGGATTCAGGTCTGAGCGAACTTCCATACCGAGCATGGAAATGTTGCTCTGCAGCGGTAGTGTTGTGCCCTGAAGAGATGGAAGGGGAAGGAATGGCGATGTTTTTGCCGTGAAAGCGCAAGCCTGAGTTTTCTTGGCATTGAACTCAACTAAGTTCCTGGTACCCCATTCGGAAATGTGGTCCAAAGCCTGATTGAGTTCAATGACAAGATTTTCCCGTTTCTCCTTGGTTACTGCCTGCCCAGCCGCTGCTTGTCCGAGATACCCCGCATGCACTGTACTATCGTCTGCATAGCAATGAATATTCCCAAGAGGAATCAAGTCATTGATATGCAGCAGAAAGAGAGTGGGGGACAGGACGGAGCCCTGGGGAACGCCGGCATTCACTGACATGAACCGCGAACTGCTACCATCCGTAAGGACACGAATTCTACGCTCATGCAGGAAGTCAGCCACCCAAGAACAGAACTGGGCTGGCAGACCGTATGCCGGAAGCTTGGAGAGAAGGCTTTTATGCCAGACCCTGTCGAACGCCTTGGCAATGTCAAGGCTGATAGCCAACGACTCGCCATGCTTGTCGATAGCCTCACCCCAGATATGAGTTAAGTACGCTAGAAGATCACCCGTCGATCGTTTCGGTCTAAATCCATATTGACGATCATTAATCAGGGAGTGATCCTCTAGGTAGCGGGTCAGATGGTTATTAAGGACCCTTTCTAGAACTTTACATAAAACTGAGGTGACTGCTATTGGCCGGTAGTTTGCCGGGTCTGAGCGATCCCCTTTTTTGGGCACCGGTTGCACGTTAGCATCTCTCCAAGTCTCCGGCACACGCCCCAAAGAATACGAGCATTGGTACAAGCGCGTGAGCACGGGAGACAACTCCGCTGCACATTTTTTAAGCACAACTGCTGGGATGCCATCAGGTCCACTAGCTTTCCGGACGTCGAGTGAATGCAATTCGGCACGAACTTCACGCTGCCTGATTTTAATATCAGGCATCGTTGTGCCACAGTGAGGTAATGATGGTGGCAGTGCATTGCAATCATCGATTCGGGAGTTAGCCGCAAAGAGTTTTGCCAGTAAATCAGCTTTCTCCTGCGGCTTATGAGCTAGTGTTCCGTCTGGGCATCTCAGAGGTGGCAGCGAGGGCTGGCAGAAGTTATTTTGCACGGCCTTGGCCAAACGCCAGTAGCTACGGGAGCCCGCAGGATGCGTAATAAGTTCCTGGCCAACAAGTGCAACACGCTGGGCATCCGCTCTGATGTAAGCCTTCTTACAGGCCTTGGGAGCAGAATTGTAGGCTGCTTTGAGTGAATCGACCCCGGCATCCTTGAGAGCGCGGCCTCTGATCCAATCACGATATGCCGCTTGCTTACGCGAAGCAGCTTCAGCACAGTAGTGATTGAACCAGAGGTTACGTGTCCTTACTGATGAGATCAGAATGAGGAATATAGTATTCCATACCCATTATAATCTCCTCAGTAATGGCAACGGCACTGCCCGATAGGTCCCTGTCACTGAAGCAGCGCTGCTTCCAAGGGACGGACGCAAAGTAATCACGCATACCGTCCCAATCTGCCGACCCATAATGCCAGATACGGCGCTTGACCACTGCTGGACGCGGAGGCTTGGCCTGTGGTGCTTTGGCAGATATCAGGCAGTGGTCGGACGAGCCCAGGGGGGCTCTTACCACAACCTGATAGGCCTGTGGATGGGTCGTGAGCAGAAGGTCCAGTAAAGAAGGCGCTTGACTTGGAATATCTGGGATCCTGGTGGGCTGATCAACCAGTTGCTTCAAGTCATGCGTGAGAGCGAATGTGTGAGCAGAGATCCCTGCATGGTCAGTTTTGGAAGAACTTAACCACAAATTGTGGTGAGCATTAAAGTCCCCCAAAAACACCAATTCTGCGTTGGGAAATTGTTCCTGCGCGTCATCTGCTGCCCGACTAAGGTGCTCAAAAAGTCGAGTTGTCTCAACATCGCCGATGTGGGATCTGTAGAGGCACACGTAGACTCTGGCCAGGGGGCCAGAGTCGACGTGTACCCCCAGCATGGAGAAGGAGGGATCTTCCAAGCAGCGGAGACGGCGACAACAAACATCCGCCCGAACATACAGGCATACACCGGCTTTCGCTTTGAAGGACTCTTCAAGCACGTAGCCGGGATAATTAAGGTAGCCTGTGTCAGCAGGCGGAAGTATTTGTGTCTCCGTCAGGAACAACAATGCTGGCCGTGCTGTCTCGAGATGGTGGTGGACAGCGTTGAGGTTAGAGTGGAGTATATTGCAGAACGTATATTGCAGAACTCGACCGCGTATATTGCAGAACTCGACCTCAAACAGCGTTGAAGGCGTGGGAGTGTGCACCGCTGTACGTCCAAACTTTGTAATTGAGGCTGCAATGGTGGAAGTGAAAAAAAAAAGAGACGCGAAAATGAGCAGACGCCGTCGCGAAGAGTCCGGGCAAATAAGGGAGGTCTGTTTTCCCGATTGGCTGCCTGCAGAGGAGATGCGCCGACCCGCCGGACGGAAGGGCCCCCGCACCCCCCCGGGAGTGGCCGCCGGGACCCCACGCCCCGGTCACCAACCGGCACGACGGTCCACCCCGAGATTATGCGTGACATGATGGGGCAGCCTCGCGAACTGGTTAGGAACGCTTGGGCCCCTGTACTGTGCCACGGGCGGCCAGCGGGACAGCCGTTTCTACGTGTCTCCCTGGCCGACGGGTCGATGCAGTCCTCCCGGCATCGGTTCCACGGATGCCTCCCCTGGACCGAATCCTTCGCGAAAACTTCCACTCGAGCTCTGGTTGTACGCTGGCTGATCCCGAAACGCGCGAGAAGCACTTCACGGGTTTTTCACCATGCGCACGGTGGTAACAAACCAGGCGGGTGTTAGGCACCCTACCACCAGAAGAGCGGATGGAAGCTCCGACATCCCTTAGTCGCTTCTTACGACACCCACGGGAAGAAAAGGGGCGGTGAGTTGTATTCTTTCTCCGTCACCGCACGAATCCAATATTTATTGCATATTGGGATCCTTTAAAAGAGGCGTGAAGAAGCAACATGCGGGGCGGGGGGGTGAGGATGGCTGTTGTGGCAAGTAGAACTATCTTCGCGAGTGGACTTCACCATCACTTAACATCAGGTGGGGTCAATGTTTTTCCTCGATTTTGATAGTCTTTTTGCATTGTGTCTTGTTGCTTTTTGTCTGTTAGACATGATTTTAGTTTTAGATGCATTCATGTGTAGGCCATTTTTTTGCTTTTAAAGTCTAGTTCTTGTAGCATTTCTCCATGTCTTTTGCTAATTCACTAAAGATGTCTATGTCATCAGCAAATCTCAAATGCGTTCGTTTTTCCATAATCTATTTTGATTGTCTCACTCCTCTGCCAATTGTGAATGGTTAGCCTTACCTTTCTAGTTTAACTCAGCTTGAGCTTTTTGAATAAATATTCTTTATTATGTTTAAATATGTTTTGTTGATGTTATTGATTTTTAGGGCAAGCAATATAGATGACTGTGTTATACTATCAACAACTTTCGAGTAGTCCATGAAAGCTATATATAGTGGCCTATTAAATTCTTTATATTTTTCAATACCTGTTCCATGGTGTGGATATGGTCAGTTCTACAAAAGTGTGGTCTGAATCCTTCCTGTTCAACCAGTTGATTTTTGGAGCTATTCTAATAAGAATTATTGATGAGAAGAGTTTATATATTGTTAATAGCAGGCTTAGGTATGTAGTTGCCCATGTCAAGAGGTACCCTTTCTTGTAGAGTAGTTTTATGTTGGATTCACACCACTGTTTGGTACTTCCTTATTTCTAGCTCTTATTTTGACTAAAATACTTTTTAAGTTTTTTTTAATTCCAATACCTTAATCATACTATAGGTGCCTTTCTTCATAAGTAACTAATGAGTTAACTTGGGGTAGTAACAGTTGGGTCTGCCCTAAGTTCAAAATTTTAGCTAAAACTAGTAACAAGACTTTTTTTAACTGAATTTAATTTTTGGTCAGATATTGGAAGTGTGAGCAGAGACCAGTTGCGAGTATGTCTGGTGATGTAGATGATCATACTTCTTGTCTTGCCAGCCTGAACACTTTCTATCCCCTACCGCATTAAGCAACTCAATGCAATAGGAGAACACTACATGGTGTAATTTAACTTGAGTCTTATGTTTAGTGGATGAACCCTACAAAAAGAGGCAATTCATCTCACTAATAACTAACAATCAAACTGTTGTTGACCAATATTCTTATGAACCTTACATCAAAATGACCATAGGTTATCATTTAGTAATCATGCACTATTTATATAAGGATTACCTTAAAATTAACATAGATTAATCTGATAAACTGATGAGCTATGATTAACAATCCACATTGATTACATGAATTAGGTAAACTATTATTATACATTAAGGGTTACTAAATTTCAACACTTAGGTTTACATAATATAAATATTTTGCCTCTCACCTATTACTCCGCTGGCCAAGTACAAAAAAGCAAGGCCAGTATCTAAGGAATTTGTCTCTTGTGCAACTTGAAAGCAAAGACTGAAAAAGATAAATGTATTGTTGTAATAAATCCAATGAGTGGTTGACAAATAAGAGAGTATAAAAGTGAAAGTCTCAGTACCTACAAACTCCACAATAAACACTATTGGTATTTTAAATACTTAGTTTATTTATTTTTAACTTTCATATCAATTATTTCCAAATGTTACTCTCTCAATCTTAATTAGAAGTTAGTGCGTTACAAGTTCACAATTAAATTCAATTAAATGAAACATCTTTAAGTCAAAACTACACACAAATCCACCTTTTTGTTAAGTTGTAAGTTAATTGATTCTAGGGTACAAATCAAATCAAGATACTTACGACACTATAAATGTTGAAGATAAAATAACAAGACCACACTTAAATATCAACATATTATTATATAAATCAACATTTGACCCACCGCACTGCCCAAACCCCACAATGTTTATTTTCTAACTGGAACGGAACCACAGGACAGCACAACACAAGACTCACAGTCATAGATGGTGGTTGCTTCACTCACTCAGCCTGCAGCTACACCGAGGCCCAAGCACGAATTTTAAAATTTGACAGCTCCGTTATCGTATGGCATCGTTAAATTTCTATGAAAACTAAGCAGCGCCCCTATCAGACGTAAGTACAAACTGGCTCCTTCCTTACAAAATTTAACGCTGGCGATACGATTACGGAGCTGTCAAAATTCATTTTTTTGTTTTTTTTTTTTTTTGTTAAATTCTCCCCTTTCAGAGAAAGCAAGGGGAACAATGCCCATACAGACTAGTCTTAAGTTAAATTATTCTGTTTTTCTTTGTACATTAGAATGTCGGTGTGACGCATTCTAATGTTTCTTGAAGTGTTTGGCACGAAATGTATCGAGCTGGCTTTTTCGATAAGCTTCTGTGAGGTAGTCAATACGCAGACAGTTGTAACACAAAATCACACCAATTTTATTTCACAATATCCACTATGAACGAATTTAAGAATAATTAAAATAAGACGCCAACCACACTCGATGAAATCCCGCCAAAAACCTCATTTTTTTGTTTTACGTTCACCCTTAATGAAGAAGGCAAAGGGAACAATGTCCATACAGTCTATTCTTCAGTTTAATTTTGTTCTTTCTTTTACATTAGAATGTGGGTGTGACGCATTCTAATGTTTCTTGGAGTGTTGGGCACGAAATGTATAATTAACTTCTGTAAGGCAGTCAACACTACAATAAAGTTCTCACGTACACTTGACCGGAATAGCGTAAAAAACTAAAACAACTCTCTGTCAAAATTCATGTCAGCTGGTCTTATCATTATTTTTTTTAATTTCTCTACCCATTCTGGGCAGGCCAAGAGTACTGTGCAAACAGCCAATTCTTAAGTTAATTTTTATTCTGTCTTCTTCTTCTTTTGTATAGATATGTGCAGTATGAACATACCACATAAAAAATATAAATATTGTAAATGAGTGCCTAATTTCTTTCCTTTCAATAATTATTTTAGTATTCCGTGAAACCCTTCAACTTTGGTTTTCAAATGTAACTTTAGCCAGACATCAAAATAACCAAAGTATGTGGTAGAAAAAAATATATGTAATGCTATTCAACTAAGAAAAGGACCGACTGGGCGCCATATTTTAACATCATAGCTGTCAATTCGACGACCTCCGTTCCGAGTGGTCTGTACGCCGAGTTTCATGGCGTTGCCGACTCGAGAGGTCCCGGGTTCGAATCCCGGTGGGCACAGATGTTTGTGTGATGAACACGAACATTTGTACTCCAGTCATGGATGTTTAATATGTATTTATATATAAATATACTTATATAAGTAAAGTATATGTATTCTATCCGTTACCCTAGTATCCCATAACACAAGCCTTATAGTGCTTACTTTGGGGCTAGGCTAATTGGTGTGAGAGTTGGAAATATTTATTTATAATTCAAACCAAATAGGTAGAGTCAGCAGAAAAAATATGGGTGCGTGTACTTTACGCGCGTGAGAAGTTATACTTCTTTTTGGAATTATTCAAAAATAGTTTTTAATTGTATGCAGATAATTAATTACAATAAGATAATAAAAGGATTGGAAAAGGATAGTCAACGCAGTCAATAAAGTTCAGTTTTAATTTGAAAAATTTAATAAATAATCAAAATATTCAATTTAAATCACTACTGAATTTAAGTTATTAGTCCATATGTAATTAGCACTTGTAAGTAACTAAAACACGTTGTGTCTATATAGAAACTAGAAACATGTGGATAAATATTATAAATATAAAAACAGTGATCAGAGGCGACGAGCGTGCCAACATTGTTTTTGACAACGCGATCATCTTATGGAGCTCCGTGGATCGTTCAAAGTACCTTTCGAACAGATGTCTAATATTGGTGGATTATTAACCACTAAGTGGTTAATAATCCACCATTATTAGACACTAACATTCATAACGCGCTCGCGGCCAACTTCATGATGTTACTATTGTGTTACAGTGATGCGCGCGCATCTCGAAATTTCACTCACATCATTTTTTCATAACGCGCCCGCGGCTAACTTCATTATGTTACTTTTGTGTTACAGTGATGCGCGCGCATCTTAAAATTTCACTCTCATATTTTTTTCATAACGCGGCTAAAGAAGTATAACTTCAAAAAATTTTCTATTTAATAAAACTTATTTGCTAAGATCAGATGACAAAAATCAAGAAAACCTACATAAAATTGAGCACGATTTTGTTTGCAATTTGTGTCGATTCTACATTAGCCGAAGGAACTTCGTTGCTACCTGGTGTCCCACAACACCACATCATTATTATTTTTAATAATATTTCTTTACTATGACTGTGTGAGAAAAAACATTAATCAGAATCTAGCTCTTCAATTCCGCTCATCTCTGCATTACCGCCGGAGTAGTTATGAATAATCATGCAGGTCACATACGAACATGTATCCTGTACGTAAACGAAAGTTTTAAATCGAGTTTCTAAACGCAATATCACATTTGGTTGACGATTTAGGTTATCAACCATACATAGCCAAAGCTCAATAAATAAAAAAAAATATCAACCAATATTCATTTTCAATATTTGTTATTGTTTGTTTAAAATGTTTGATTTTTATTCTAGAATTAGCTGAGTGCTAAAAAAGTGTTCCGAGATTTTTTTGCAAACTATACTTTACAAGCGACATTTGACAGATGGAGGTCATTGGCTTTACTACTCTTATTTGCATCGCATTATAGCAGTTGGGTATGTTTTACAGCTAGTTAAGTCAAATAGAAATTATTTCTGCCAATACTGACAGCTTTGGTTAAATTGCTCTGTTGGCTGTCAAATGTAATGGTTTATTTACACCTGGTCGTTAGCCCGTATTTGAATGACCGAAAAACATTACACGAATTCAGGTACACGAGACAATAGTTACACTGGAATACGGACTGGAAGAAAGCGTCGGGTAACCAAAATGAAAACTACCCGAATAGGGGCGTAATCGACTCCGTTAATTTATACTTAGTGGTTTACCCGAATTCCATTGGCAATTCTATTCTGGCTAACGACTAAATTTAATCGCGCCATAAGGCGTGGACTAAAGCAATTTCTGATTCGATGAGCAGAAACAAAGCTCTGAGTACACATCGCTAATACACACTAATCTCACATAACATCAGCGGTAAAGTAGAAATTTGCCGGGGATCCTGAAAAAAAAATAAATGCTCACCTAGGAAAATGTTGTCGATTTTAAAAGAGAAGAAGCCAAGAAGAATTTTACTATAGATACATTTACTGACATAAACATATTATAAGACTTAAAGAATTGTTGCGTTCAAGCCGATGAATTCATTTCATGAAATGCAAAATAATTATAGGCATGTTATAATTAATTATAACAGTAGATACAGCCGATACCTTAAAATAGTATTTTAACGTAGGTCATCCTCTCTCCCACCATCTATAGCTAACTGCAGTGGAATGATTTGAAATTATACAAGACCTTTATTAATTATCGCTTTTAATGTGAAAAAAATGAAAAAAATATATAGAAATAGATAGAAAATCGAGACTGTATGGACTCAATATCGTTTGCCTTCCTAAAAGGGAAGGAGGTAATTATAAATAAATTTTCTCACACTTTGATTTCGCGCGCGTTTCTATGTGTTTTTTGTTTGATTCTGGTTTTTGTTCCCTAAGATCAATTATTAATTATTCTGTGATAAAATCTATTAATAATTCTTTGTTTTCTTTTTATTAAAATTATAAATTTATTAGTACGTTCTTGTTTCGGCTAATAAACACAACACAATAACATGTCATCTCTACAACCCATTCATGCTCTTAGTTTAGGTAAGTTTCATTCTGTGTTTAGATTTCCCAATTTTTGTTTAAAAATTAAAAATACGTATCAAATTACTTACAATGCGTAAAAAAACCTACATACATAATTACATTAAAGCGTAATTGAGACAGTTTGTTATTTTACATAAAAGTTCCTAATATTATTTAAGATTTCAATTAATTATGATATTTTAAAATGCTCTATACTACTTCTGTCTTATTTCCAAACAGAATCTGTGTCGAGGTGTAGGTACATTAGGAAAAGTAAACCACGTAAACATTTCATGATAAACATTTGTCGAGTAACAGTTTGCAACAGTGCTATAGGTATATCACTAAATATTTATAGTCCACATTTTTTGCCTGAGTATGCAGTGTACTTGTGATTTTTGTGACTTATTTATTTAAAGACATTTTCCCACACATGTGCACTTATTTATATTGTTTTCAGATTGATTTGTTCAGTTTGTTGCTTATTAATTGTTTTCACTCCTCAATTAAGAACTTTACAACATGCACTCTACTACACTATCAGTCATCATAAAAAAATGTATTTAGATAAATGCAAGATAGTTAAAAAACTAACAAATAAAAAGTAAAAAATATCTTTTTTTTCACAGTTTACAACAGTTTCTGGTTAACTTACAATTTCAAATTGTTTTAAAAGTTATTGGTGAACTGTATACTTTGAAGCAAAGGCCTCCTTCAACCACTTCGAATGATTTCTTTCCTGAGTAATAAAAGAGAAGGTTGTCTCTTATAGTAAATGATAAAATTACGTATACCTATCTTGTGTCAAATACTCTACTTCCGTTTCATCAAATCTCAAATCACAACTGTGCTAAAGAAGTTTTCACTTAAAAGAAGGGGAGATAGATATTTCAGTCATCTATCATCATTAATCGTTATAATACTTTAAATTTTTCTTTTGATCTGCATATTGTATATGGTCTTTGATATATTCAACCATGTATTATTATATAAGATGTGTTATAGACAATTTTTACAATTATTATTAAGGTACAAAATGCCATCCTTCTACATTATTAGTTGTTCTTAGACATTCTTTAAAAACACACCAAATAATGATAAATATATTACAATATACTGCTGTCCGCAATCCTATTAGAAGGATTCATCGTACAACTATACAAACTTTAAGATATTTTTATCCGTTAATTTACTAGAACAGAACATCATCTTTTATCCATTCAGTTCTTATAGTTAAAATTTATGGAAAAAAAAAATCCAATAAGTCACACTAGTACAACTAATTGATAGAACTGAATGGATACAATCAGCTAATGAGGTGACATATGAATGTTATCTGGGACCAAATTACTCATCAAGACTAATCAAACGAGCCCAAACTCGATGCTCTTACTTTGTTTTATGTCAAAAATCCTATGGCCACCTTCTAACTTCATCGTCATACCCTGTTTACCATATAGGACCAAATTATTTGCCAAGACGAATCATACATGCCCCAATTTGAGGGCATTGCATCGTTTTATTACAGAGTTCCGATGGCCACCTTCCAGCTCCATAATTAGAATGGATATTAAGCAGTGGTCAGAAAATAGCTTACAAATTTTGAATACATACATATGAACAGTGCAAGAAAATAAAGGATTGTATATATTATAAAACTTCCTAAAAAAACTTGTTGCCAAGTACCTGATTATATTACGGACACAAATGTTTCTCTTTGAACTGTTCCAATCATTTCAACTCGATGCAAGGCAGCGCCATCTCTTAAAATTTTAGGTAACCCACAATATCTTAAAAAATTCTAGAGAAAATTTAACATAAACAATAAGGGCAGCGGTAGCATCCATTTAAATTAATGTGCAGTTTTTTATAGTTTTTATTGTTATTAGCCGAAACAGCATTCCTTATAGGTAATTGTGTTAAGAGTTAGTTACTAATCTAGTTTAATTACTGCAGCGGCTTGCAAAAGAGGCGGTGATAGACGAACGTATACGTACGTATACAAATATAATATATATATACTGTAATGTTCGTTTTTGAGCAGGGCGTGACTCTGAAACTCATATTACTGACACACGTAGGACAGCTTATATAACAGAAATACGTAAGGCTATCAATGCCTAGTTGTGGCCAAGGCTTGTATAGTACTTTTGTCAAATATAGGTTGAAATAACTGCAGCGGCAAGTTCAATGACGAAGAAAGAAACAACAATAATATAATTTCCCTCCGTGTGTTCATTTGTTATATTTTTTTAATAAACATCTTTCTACATTAGATTATTTGCAAGTCTGTTTGTAAAAATGATGATAAAGCGAGCTTTTCTTTTATTACTTTTTGTAGAAAGTAGAATTTTACAATGCTTTTACATGTTTCACATGTTCAGCGAAAACTAATAGTGTTTATTTTAATGCCGTTTGTGGTTGGAAAGCGATGTCCAGTGCGATTGCCCGGAATCCCGTTTTTTTTAATTAATTTGGCCATATATTTAAACTAAAAATACACAAAATGTCTGCATTATTAATGACACCACAGTCATAAATAATCGTCTGCAATATTTTATTATGATTTTTATGTACACACCAATTAGCCTAGCCCCAAAGTAAGCACTGCAAGGCTTGTGTTATGGGATACTAGGGTAACGGATAGAATACATATATTGTACATATATATAAGTATATTTATATAGAAATACATATTAAATACCCCATGACTGGAGTACAAATGCTCGTATTCATCACACAAACATCTGCCCCCACTGGGATTCGAACCCGGGAGCTCTACCATAATGGTCAGTTCATCCGCCCGGATAGCGGAAGATGCGGATTTGAGTCCCGTCTGCTGCCTGGTCCATGTGGATTTTATTCTAGTAAAATTTTCTTTACAGATAAACATCTAACAGTTAAATGCTTAAAAAATTAAAATACCTAGTCAGGTCATAAATTTTGTCATCTGTTTGATATAAAATAATTGAAACAAGTTTATTCATTATGTAACCATTTATACACCAAAATAAACTTAAGAAATCATAGATTCTTATGACAATAAAGTTTATTCAAAATGACCTCCGTGATTTTGAATATAGGCCTTCAACCTGCGCGGCCAGTCGTCTATCGCAGCACGAACGAGGTCCATGTCAATATCGGCGGCTGCCTTAATCAAGGATGTCTTGAGTGACTCCAAATTAGGATGAGGCTTTGAGCACGCCTTTTCCTCCAAGTGTTGCTATATCTTGTAATCTAACGGACTCAAATCAGAACTGGAGGAGGGCCAGTCTTCGTGCCGGATGAAGTCGATTTCACGCGCCGCCAGCCAGTCTTGTGTGCTCTTCGCTTTATGAGCTGGCGCTGAATCTTGTTGGAATACCCAGTGCCTGTTATTGAACATGGTATGAGAAACAGGTTCTACAAGGTTCGTCAGGACTGTATTTTGATACACAACTGCATTCGTTTTTTACACCTTTCTCACAAAAATGTACCTCTGTTAAGCCCCAATAGGAAACTCCCAACCATACCATGAGCGAGGATGGAAAATGACCTCGTTGGACACGCGGAATACGGTTGCTCGCTTCTTCACTACTGTGTGCGTACACCTTATCATTTTGTTTGTTGTAGCTCTCTTCTACGGTAAAAAATTTTTCATCCGAAAAAAGAATTTTCCGATATTTTTTTCCCGCGTACCGCTTCAACAAAGCGCGGTATCTCTTCAGTCTCAAGTTTAGACGAGCATTTAAACGATGTCTTGTTTTTCTTCGATATGCCCGAAGCCCTAAGTCTTCATTTAACAATCTTTTCACCGTGGTTCTGCTTAACCCCATCTGAAGGGCCAACAGTTTCTGCAGTTTTTGGGATTTCTTTGAATTCGCACCTTCACAGCTTTTATCACTGCTGGAGTCCTAACAGACCGATGGCGACCACTTCTTGACCTGTCATCTACACTAGAGTCTTCATTGTATCGTTTGATGGTACGATAAACGAATCTTTTGGTTATATTCAAATTTTTCAGTATCTCAAAAATTTGAATTGGCGCGTAACCGCAACGCAACGATGCAACGCAATAACTGCAACACGGTCTTCTTTAAGCGTCCACTCCATATTTAAAAATGAGTAAAATTCTAAAAAGTATACATTTTTATTTTCATGAACAATTCGAAATTCGAATTCAATAAACTTTTTTGTGGCCAGCATTCTGAAAAAAAAGTTTTTACTGTGTGACAATACTTATGACCTGACTGTGTATAACTATAATTGCTATTTCTTTCAAATGTTTAATACCTGTAAAGGTATCATATGACATTGTGCGTTTCTTAAAATGCGATGAGATGGCGCTTGCAGCCTAAGAAATAGTAGAGAAATTTCGATACATAGATTTCCCGAACAAAGTTAAGTAGGTATTTAAATCTGAAGAATGTTTTGTAGTAAATATTTATTAAGATTTAAACGTCTAACAGATAAAGCTTAAAAAACAAAAATATAAGAGTTCAGTATGCTAAGAACCGTACTATTATTATAAATGCGAAAGTGTGTCTGTCATCACGCTAAAGCCGTTGTACTAGTTGAGCAGGAATTTGGCAAAGAGATAGTTTGAGTCCCGGGGAATAGGACATACAATACTTTTAATCCTGGTTCCTGAGCGATTCTCAACTAACTACATATAATGCAAATGCGATAAAATTGTACGAAGCATGACTTTAAGCATCGCGTAATCGTTGCAAAAAATCGTTTGAGGGACTTGGGAATGGACCTTATAGCCATACACACTACGAGAAATCGTTACGATTAGACTGTACCGTCCGAACGGTACCGATAAATCGTAGCGTGTATGTTAAAAAAACTGCACAGTTTCCTATACGTACGCCACGTACGATAAACTGTTTCGTTCGAACTGTACAGTCTAATCGTAACGATTTCTCGTAGTGTGTATGGCTACCATTAGGTACCATTTTTAAGATAGCGGGGAGAGTAAAATCTAGCTCTACATATAGTCGAATCTCCGGGGCCTGTTACTTTTATTTTCATTTATTCTGGTAACAAACTGTCATAAAGAGTTATTTTATGTTTATGTATACATAATAATGTGTTATTATTAGACTTGCAACGAATATTCAGTTCCTATTCGGTATTCGGCCTGTTCGGCTGCTTTTATTATATTCGGCCGAATATCTACATATTATTCGGCCGAATACTTAAATAATATATTTTGTCATAGAGAAATAATTGGTAAAATGAAAAATTAAAATCGATTGATTACGTATATATTCGGTAGTCATTGGTACATAAAACAGGTACATAATTTAATCATTTTCTGTATTAAACAAGTTAACAGTTTTTAATTCATTCAGTCATGTGATGAATGGTCACATAATAGCAATAATTTAAAGTTTACGCGCCGTTTTTTGCCATATCTCAAAAGCACCTCAAAATTAGTTTTGTCATTTAGCCGTATTTTAGCATGAGGGCGGCAGATTAGAACAAAACAAAGGAGCGCGAAACAATCACGTCTGTCCAAGTTTTTGGCGCTAAAATCCAGCCGAATACTTTTGCCTAATGTTCGGTCAGGGGCCTCGCCGAATATTCGGTTTTCGGTATACTGCCGAATATAGTATTCGTTGCAAGTCTAGTTATTATCCATTCACCTAGCAGTAGTGTTGCCAGGTGACCCGATTTGCGTGGGACGCCACGATTTTCAGGGGTCTGGGGACGCGTCCCGATTTGTACTTGATCCGGACGCTAAATGTCCCGACTAAACAAAAAATGATATTTAGGTAGTTTATATAATACTATACTTGCACTAGTAGTTTAAAACGCAATAAATAAAAGCCAAACTTCAAAAACCCTTGTTTTTTGTTTACTATCCCGATCTGCAATCCTAAATCCCATTTTTTTGACCTCATGTACCGAAAAGTTTTACTAGAAAAAATCCATGCGGACCAGGCAGCGGACGGGACTCAAACCCGCCCCCTTTGCAAACCGGGCGAATGCACTGAACAATTATGCTACCACGGCCCTGATGGCCGCGTCAAGTATTAAACATCAGGCCATCTGGTCCGCGTGGATTTTGTCTAGTAAAACTTTTCTGTAGATTTAAACATCTAGCAGTTAAATGCAAAAAAAAATAAAAACATAACTCATGTACCGATTTAAAAGAAATCGGTCCTGGCAACACTACCTAGCAGTGCCAATTATAAGAATCTTTTAAACAATAATAGGTTTCTAGTTTTGTGGAAGATAAAGTTCTTATGCAACTTCGAAGTTTAACTATAAAACTTCAATCTAAATATACGGAACGAATTTAAATACGGTATTAAAAACTCTATCTTTACCTCTCTTTTTTTCTCTTCTACGTTAGGTAGATGTTTGCATAGTGAACCTCTTCTGGCATACGTCAAGTACGGTAACTTCATTCAATTTGTTTAAAAACTGGTTGTTCTAGTTGAGCCCTTTTTAGGGATCTCTCCACCGCAAGGAGAAGGAGGAACCTCTAAAGTCTCAGTATCCCATGAAACCCGTTCCGGCAGACGAGGGCGTATTGTTAGGTTTTTAGTGGGTAGGGCCCCTTCCGTCCCTGGCGGCCGTTCAGCCAGTCGCAGGACTGGTTGAGGGGGTGTGCTGGATGGTGGGGGAGGAGTTCCACATGACCTCGCCTCTCACCCGGAGGCGAAGAATGCGTCACGCATTTTCGTAACATAAAAAAGGGTACCTCCCCCACCAAAAGGAAAAAACCCAACCCATATAGGATCACTTAAGTGTCATTTTTTGAAAGTTTAAATTACTTCCCTATACGGACACTCCATTTTTGTTTAGTTGTTTCATGATAATAAGAAAACGGGTAAATTAATCCCTAGAGAATAAGTGTCATTTTTTTAAAGCTAAATTATTGATAAAGATGAAGAAATGAATGAGTTTTTGGAAAATAAGTATATAATCGATAATCCGGCAGGAATGTTTTGAGGGAAATAAAGATTTTTTAAGTATATCAAAATCTGTTAAACTAACAGACTTGAAGTGGTATTCGTATTGTAAAAAAAATTGACTATTTTAAAATAGGATGGACTATTCAAAAGTTATAAGCGAGAATCCGAAAAAAGACCAAAAATTTCATGGCATTTTGGGCACTACGCAACAGGTCTTTCGAAACTGCAATTTTTTATAACATTATTGGTAATTATCCAAAAAATCAGCAAAGTGCAATTTATTGCAACCTACGATGTCTTGTATGACTGGCCTAAAGATAGATAAGAATGAATTAACAAAATTATTCATTAAGATTTTTATTTGATTAACGGAATTGGAGGTACCTACTTCAAATTAGCAAAGGATAGGTAGCGGCAAACTTCTCGAGTAAAACCACAGACAAATAAACTCGCGCAGTAGACGTTTTTGCATGTAAAATTGCGCAGATTTCCATGTCGTTAGTAGCTCAAGAAGCTTACCGAAATATAAACTTAGTATATGGAAGAATCGTAATTTATGTTAAGAGTCAAACTGATTTTACTTTGTTTGTATTATTTATTTCAGATTCAGTCCAGCAGCAAGCATTTATAAAATACTTCAATTCGCTACCTGAAGTAAGTCAAAAGCAATTATTATTAATAGGTTTATTAAATGTAGTAATCGAATGTAATCTTGTTAGGATCGTACTCAGGGACGGCAATTAACTTTAATGCTTGTAAAAACGTGTTTCTTTAATTTGAATATTGTCGTAAAGGGAAGTGTCAATATAAATTTTAGTGAAACTTGAAAATTAATTGATGTCTTTGAGTGCGATCGTTAGTCTACTGCTTTCGTTTCAAGTGTTAATAATACTTAAACAATATAAAGTGAATATATTGCTACTTTAAAAAAAGTTTGTTTTAAACAATGGGACAGCTGATTTAATTGGATATTGTTTATCGAAAATACAACGTATTTACAATCTGAGTACATCTCTCAACTTATTAATAAGGAACTTTAAAGATATTGATAAAGTAATAATTGAATCATGGCTCACAGCGGTATAAGGTACTGCATAATTCAAGTTATTTCATTTAAATTAGTGATGATACTCAATACTACATATGCTTATAACTTGAATAAGTAATTTACAATGTTATAATACAAATATACTCCATGCTATATCACCATTCACTAGCTGTCCTTTTAATTCGTACATTCTGTATATAAATGAATACCTGAACTTAATTTATTTTACCGATAACACTATTTTATTACTCTTAAATACAAGTAAAAAATCACAGCTATGACTTAAGCTAGTATTAATATAATACATATTTTGAATGTATTAGAGTTAACTACCAAACCATGATGACACTTTACTTTTAGCATTTGTGAACTTGTTACCAATAGACTTCCAAAAACCAGGTTTTTCTGTTACAGTTTCTGTAGAGGAAAGCTCTGTCACTACCTTTTGTGATTTATCCTGTTTTTGTGTTTCTGCAATTTCTATGACATGATATTCTGGATTGTTTTGATTTGCTTCTTTGCTACTTTTGCTTACACCTAAATGCCTATTATATGGCCCTGATTTCTCGTTCGAGAGTGGTAGTTCATCCAAATTTATTGGTTCTGGTATAAATTCTTTTAGATTTGATTGTTCGTTACTTTGTGATGGCTTTTGATGACTCAATTTATCATTTTGTTGACTAAAATTTACGAATTCTTGGTCAAAATTTTTTACTGGTGCCTGACTTTGCTGACTGAAATCATCAAGAAATTGCTGATCATTATTTTGTGAATCAATATTCCAATTAACTTGTTGATCTGATTGAGGAGATTGTCCATTAAAATCAGATAAGTTTTCGTTGTTTTGATTCTCAAAAATTTGCATTGAGTCTATGAAATGTTGATTCTCTTGGATAAAGTCTTTTGTTTGATCAAAAGTTTCTATTTCCTTTGCTGTATGTTGATTAATAATTGCTGTTTGTGCATCATGCGGTACTAATTCCGGTGACATTTCTTCCACTTCTTTGTTATTGTGTGTATTGATTTCAGAAAAACTGCTATTATTAAATGCTTTGAAATTTTGTTGTGTATAAAGGGTAATATTCGGTTTTGCGTGTTCAGGTAGCGGTATCTCCATTACTTCTAATTCGCTTTTCTTGTTTTCATATTGTTTAAAAACATTTGCAGCCGATTGTAACTCCATTTCGTGCTTTATTTGTTTGATTAATGCTTCGGTCCTTTCTTGGTCCTTAGGTACATTAATATTGTCTATGAAGGTAAATGTATCCATATTAGGTTTGTCACTAGTGCCACTATAAGATTTTTCTGTAGTTATTGTATCCACCGTAGGCTCTTCAGGTCCTATATCCCCTCGACCTATATCTATTGGTCGAAAGTCATTTGTATATTTTTCTTTCTCGGTAGTAGTTGTGATTTGTTTTTCTTTGTCTTCAAAAGTTTTTGGGAGACCGTTGTTTGCGGTGTAAATTTTTTGTGTTGTTGTTTTTACATCCAGAATTTCAATTTCATTTAAAACGTTTCCTTGCTCAGTAAGTTTTTCGGTGCTTGCTTCATGTTTGTTGGAAGTTTCAAAATCGGTATAACTAAGATTTTTTATATTGGAATCTGTATTAGTAACAGTTTGGTGATAGGTTTCCTGTCCATGCCAGTTATTATTGAATTGTTGTGAATTTGAGCTTTGTGAAAAATTGATATTTTCATTGTTTGTATTGTATTGGGTGTGATCATCGTCTAAATTGTCCAATTTTCCCCACAAACTATTTAAGGATCCTGTGTTTTGTGGTTTTAATGTGCTTTGGAAATTGTTCGAATAGAAATCCCGACCTTCATTGTTTCCAGGAAATAAATTATCTTGGTTGTGTATTTCCCAAACACCCGAGGTCTGTTGGGTCATGTCGTGTGATTGAAATGAATGCTGCGCGGATAAATTTTCTTCATTTATGTTTGATTTTTGAGCTTGTTCTAGATCACCAAGATTTTGCCAATAAGAACGAGTTTGGTCCATAGATGCTTGAGAATGTCCCATTTCTTGCGTATTAATAGCATCCCACTTATTTTCTGATTGTTGTACTCCAAATAATTCTATAGTTTTAGGTTGATCGTTATTGTCCAATTTTCCCCAAAAATCTTGCATTTGTTGACCATTGTCCACTAAATAAATAGAAAAACATACGATTATATGTATTATGGTTATTATAATGTTTTCCATGTATGAACAAAAATAGCGAATAATAGCCTCTTAAATCCTTTGTACATAGAGTGAAAGATTCTTAAAATAAGTTTATTTAAAAAGCAGCAATATAAAGTACACAAAGAAAAGATGACTCCCACCAAACATTTTCATGTAAAATGTTACCAAGACCAGACTATATGACTCGCACTGTCAAAAAGTTATTAGATCTCATGTAGAGCCATGCTTCTATTTTCTTATTTCAGTTTTCTAGGACATTAGGAAATACCCTAAGAATTTTGATGATCATCAGTGACTCAGTGACGAAATCAAGGTTTATTAGATGTCCATAAAATCTGAAGTATAAGAGCTATGCCATTAAAACTTCACATGCATTTTTATAAGTGTATATTGAGTATTGACAATACATCTCGTGATTTTTTAGCTATATTCAGGTAGGTAGTGTCCTGTGCTTCGCTGGGCTCGTTTTGTGGTCTTGGCGCCATTTTTAAAGTATATATGTCCTAAAGCCTCAAATGTTTATAAAATTTCACTTTATATATTGTGAATTAAATTACTTATGTTCTTAAGTAAGTATAATCAGCAGTATGTTTATTGTAAAGAATTAATAAATTTGAGTACAAACACAAGAGTACAAATTGTCGAAATGTGAAGATTAGACGCTTGACTTACTTTGAGTTTGACCGAAATCTTGGGTTTGTTGTCCTACGCTGTCAGAGTCCCACTTTGTTTGAGCTTCCTGGCCAAGATCTTCTAATTGCTCAGATTTATTTTCTTTTGCTTGACCTGTATTATCAGCGTTCCACTGATTTTGTGATTGTTGCCCAAGATCTTCATTATAAGATGATTGACTTTGACTGTTTTGGCTAGCACTGTTAGTATCCCATTTTGTTTGCACTTGTTGACCAAGATCCTCTAAGTTGTCAAAGATGTTTTGAGTATTTTGTCCGAGATCTTCTATATGATCCAATTTGCTTTCTGTTTGCTGGCCATTATTTTCTGCCTGACTCCATGTGTCCTGTGTCTGCTGACCAAAATCTTCCAAATTAGCTTTATTTTCAGTTTGTTGCCCAAAATGATCAGCATCTATCCAGTGATCTTGCGTTTGCTGCCCTAATTCTGCTAAGTTATCCCATTGGTTCTGAGTTTGTTGACCCAAATCTTCTATATTTTCATTTTGTTGTTCAAATTGGTCTTTGTTGGTATCATACGACCTAGCAACTCTGGTGTAACTCGGTTCACATTCTGTAATGCAATTGGTTGAAGAATATCTTTGTTGATTTTGCATTTGCCTTGAACCATAATTGTATGATGAATAGGCAGCAGCTTGGGAAGCAGAAGCGTCAGTTAGTTTACCGCTCGTTTGTGCTTCATATCCGCTGTTATATGCTGGTTTTATTATATACGGATCTCCTTGCCTCTCCCATGATTTATGATAAGAATATGAAGACTGATAACTTTTGGGCTTTGAGTTTCCTACTCCAATAAGGTTAGCGGATTGAGAATCGGCTTTAGAGTTAGCGCCACTTTGGCTGTAAGCATTTAGATTAGAATCAGATGACGCTGAACTGTGGTGTCTAGCATTCAAATCAGTTTGAAAGTGTGATTGGCTGGCAGCTACATTGTAATTAGCATTTTGCTCATATGAGTTTTGACTATTTTGCGTACTGCGTTGTGCATAAGAATCATCGTATAACTCACTATTTTTCAGAATAGGTGTTATTGTCGATACTGCCAATGGTAAAACTGAAGGTCTGGTATTATGTTTTTCCCATTCTTTGCGATAACTATAAGAAGACTCGTAGTGCTTACCGGTGTTACTTGGTTTTAATGTTTGTTGATTGATATATAACAAGGCATTAGCATCACTTATAGCACTGCCTTCTACCTGTTCACCGTGCGTTTGTGTGGCGATTGGTACAGCAATACTTTGTCCGGGCCTAACTATAATTTTCACTGGCACTGTGCTTACAAGTCTATGGTGAGTATTGGAATCCATATTTTGGACAGCTGATTGATCTGTATTTACTTGTCGTTGACCATATAAGTTTTGACCAAACCCTGATTGAGAATGGTAAATAGAACTGCGCCCTGCTTGCATTCCTTGTTCAAATTGATTAGCGCCATATAAATTTTGCTCGTCGTGTAGGTTGCTAGATTGATATCCTCTGTAACCTGAATTTAAAGAGTGGCCCCCACTTGTTCTGTATCTTTCGTCATTATTAGATGCTAAATTTGCAGCATATGCATTGTTCAATGAAGACGCTTGAAGAGAACCTGAATTTAAAGAGTGTGCAGCACCAACTCTGTACTTTTCGTTATTGCTGGATGATAAATGTGCAGTATAGGCGCTGTTTGATGAAGACGCTTGGTGGGACTCACCGTAAGATGCACCTTCTTGGAAATTGCGGCCGG